TGCCTTCGGAAGTTGTGGGAGCTTCATCCCTGGAGGCTTTCAAGAAAAAACTGGGCTGCCATCGGTCAGAAACGGTGTAGAATCTCCTGCTTGGGCAGGGGGTTGGACTAGATGACCTCCAAGGTCCCTTCCAACACTGTTATTCTATATTCAATGGAGCAGAAGTTGCCTTCGGAAGTTGTGGGAGCCTCATGCCTGGAGGCTTTCAAGAAAAAACTGGGCTGCCATCGGTCAGAAACGGTGTAGAATCTCCTGCTTGGGCAGGGGGTTGGACTAGATGATCTACAAGGTCCCTTCCAACTCTGTTATTCTATATTCAATGGAACAGAAGTTGCCTTCGGAAGTCGTGGGAGCTTCATCCCTGGAGGCTTTCAAAAAGAGACTGGGCTGCCATTGGTCAGAAATAATGTAGGGTCTCCTGCTTGGGCAGGGGGTTGGACTAGATGACCTACAAGGTCCCTTCCAACTCTGTTATTCTATATTCAATGGAACAGAAGTTGCCTTCGGAAGTCGTGGGAGCTTCATCCCTGGAGGCTTTCAAAAAGAGACTGGGCTGCCATTGGTCAGAAATAATGTAGGGTCTCCTGCTTGGGCAGGGGGTTGGACTAGATGACCTACAAGGTCCCTTCCAACTCTGTTTATCTGTTAATAACCTTGAGCTACAAATATTGTCCTTTATTTGTAGTTCTTTTATTCCAGAGGAGTTTTGTCAGAATTACGCTTTTCATTATCAGTTGAGTTGTGTGTTTGTTTGTGTTTTTAATTCTGGTTTTATTTTAATCGTTAGCTGCCCAGCCCTATCTAAGTGACGGGTGATGATAGCCATGTACTAAATAAATAAAATAAGTATACTCACGTAGTAGGCCAGTTTCAGTCCCCCCATGTCTGCAATGTTTTCTCCCAGGGTGTGTTTCCCATTTACCTGCAGAAAGAAGAGGAGGAGAGAGGCAGGGAGGAAAAAAAAATTAGATTTTACATCCTGGGAAATTCTTAAGTTGGTTATTTTCCAGATTCTCCTAAGATGGCATGTTAACACAGGTAGTTCTTGACTTATGACAGTTCATTTAATGACCGTTAAAAGTTACAACAGCACTGAAAAAAGTGATTTAGGTCTGTTTTTTTCCCCACACTTACAATCCCTGGAGCATTCCCCGTGGTTAGGTGGATCAAAATTTGGAGACTTGCCAATTGATTCATATTTATGACGGTCATAGTGCCCCAGGATCCTCCGGCAAGCAAAGTCAGCCAGGAAGCCAGGTTCACTTAACAACCTCGTTCCCAACCTAACAACTGCAGGGATTCACTTAGCAAGGTCGTAAAATGGGGCAAAGCCCGCTTAACAACTCTCTCGCTTGACCACGTACATTTTGGGGGCTGAATTGTGGTCGTAAGTCGAGGACTACCTGCATTTTGAGATTGCAAATTCGGGGGGGGGGGAAGAAGAAGAAACCGTGGGGCGTCTGGGCTCCCTCACCCTCTGGTTGTAGACGGTGAAGTTGTCGTAGAGATTCACAATGCACTCGGCCTTCTGGCGGAACTTGCTGTAGGAGGCCTCCGTCCACCAGTGCATCAGGTTCCCGTACCGGTCGTANCTCCTTGCCAAGTTCTGCAGAGATCGGCCTGGCAGCTTTCCAAGCCAGATGAGGTCTGTGACTGTAAATCCTCCTTGGAAAGACTTTGCTGGAGGTGAAGGAGCAGAATTCACAGTCAACTAATAAAACGTTTTTTTTGTCGGGACAAGGAGTTTCCGTCATGCTCTCGGGAAGCCTCGGTCAGGCTGAGGGACGTTACCTGAGCAAAGGCGATGAAGAAGAGCTGCTCATGGGTGTATTTCAGCCACAGCAGGGGGTTTTCGGGGCCGTGTTCCCGCACCCATTTCTGGTACGCCTGCAAGGGGGAAAAAAAACCACATCTGGCAAGTTGGACACAGTTCATTTCATGGTGGGAGGAAGAGCGTGGTGCCCCTGCGTTGTTGTCCATTCAGATCTGGGTACACGGCAGGGCTTGGCTCATGATGCTGTGCCCATCACTACTTGGGGGTTGACTTTTCCAGATGTCGGGCTGGCTGGACATTGCTCGGTAAGCGAAGCGGGGGGGCTCCTTGGTGCTCGCCGAGCTCGGTTGTTTTCTTCCAGATGTTTCATCATCAGGGCACACGAAGACTCCACCGTTCCACCCTGTGCTATAATAAATATTCCCTTCTACTGATGTATACCTAGATAAGCAGGGATTAGTACCAGACAAACAGTCAAGCAGAAAACAATACCCTAAATCCAGGGCTGCCAGGGTGAAAAACCACATCTCAAAAACGGTTGGCAAGGCAAAAGCTACTGTATATAAACAGGAGGGAACCTCACACTCACTAGCACTGATGGCGTTACCTAGTTGGGTAATGAAATGTCTGCAAGAAAACAACCAAGCTCAGAGAGCATCGAGGAGCCCCCACTACTCCTCCTCCTCCTCCTCCTCCTCTTCTTCCTCCTCCTCCTCCTCCTCCTCCTCACACTGATGATGTTACATATTTGGGTAAAGAAATGTCTGCAAGAAGATAACGAAGCTCNAATAAAATATAAAATAATATAAAATATAAAATAAAATATAAAATAAAATATAAAATAAAATAAAATGAAATAAATATAAAATAAAATAAAATAATAAATGAAATGAAATAAATATAAAATAAAATGAAATGAAATAAAAGCAATAATAAAACTATTCATCCAAAAAGTATTTTTGGACACTTTATGTGGCTTCCTCCCAAATCCTAAACCAGAGATTCTCAGTTTTCGGCAGCTTTCAACTGTGTGGACTTCAACTCCCAGAATTCCCCAGCCAGAGGCCCTCTGTGCATAATGTCTTTGCCATCTCTGAGCCCAATTGGAGGGTCCCTTGGATGCTGGTACCTGTAATGTTCGGGGGCGTGTTTGTCGGTCAGCACCTGGAGATAGATGGACTGCGAGCGCCGTTTAATGCACCAGTTCTGCAGGGAAGAAGGGAGACATTTTGACATGGGCCTCGTCTCTCGGAACTGCTTACAAAGAGCCTATTCAAAGGTAGACTCCCCCTCATTCCCTACTAGCACTGATGATGTTGCCTAGTTCGGTAATGAAACGTCTGGAAACAGCCAAGCTCAGAGGGCGCCAAGGACAAAAACGATTTAAGTACCCACAACAGGGAGTTGGTGGTCCAAGTCAGTGTAGACTGAACATATATTTGTATTTAGACCCACATCAGACCTGGGGGCAATAGGGTGGGGGAGGGAGGATCACCCCAATGAATGGGTCAGGAAGGAAATTCAGGGTGTTGTGGCCTTTTGGCTGCTGACCCCTCCAGCAGCCGACTAAGAGGAGGGGGTGTGGGAGTGAGGGTCAGCATCAGGGCAACCTGGGAGCTCTGAGGGGGTCATTAAGTGAAACAGGGCAGTTGTTAAGTAGCTTGCGCGGTTGTTAAGCAAAACTGGCTTTCCCATTGACTTTGCTTGTCAGAAGATCGTGAATGGGGATCATGTGATCCCCTGAGACACGGCCACCGTCATAAATATGAACCAGTTGCCAAGCGGTTGAATTTTGATCACATGACCATGCAGATGCAGCAGTAACGCCCGTAAGCATGAAAGAGTATCCTAAGTTACTGGATTTCAGTGCCATTGCAACTTCCAACGGTCACTAAATGAACCGTTGTAAGTTGAGGACCCCCTGTGATCTGCCCACCGGCGTCTCGTTGCGCTGAATTCTCGACAACTCCTTGCTGTTGTGGCCTGCCAACGGCCAGTGAAACTGGTGCCAGATTCGGACAGTGACGCGGTTGGGGAGGAAGATGGGCCAGTCCTGGGAGTCTGGGGAAGGCTCTGATGAGAGCTCTGGGTCAGAGGCAGAGAGGGGGCCAGGGCCGTCCGACAGATATCAGCTGCCTTCAGAGTCAGACTTCATTGAGGCAGAAGAACAGCTGGAGCCTGTTCCCAGTATGCGCATGCACAGAGTTGCTAGACGAAGGGAAAAACTAAAGAACGGGGTTGACTTGGGAGTAAGGCCACAGGTGGACGGTGAATGGCCCCTCCCAGAGGGAATACAAGAGGGAGTGCCAGGGGAGTGGAGTTTGCAGGAGACAATTAGTTCGCTTCATTGGTTCGTGACTCTCCAAGGCTCCTTGCCAAGTTCTGCAGAGATCGGCCTGGCAGCTTTCCAAGCCAGATGAGGTCTGTGACTGTAAATCCTCCTTGGAAAGACTTTGCTGGAGGTGAATGAGCAAAATTCACAGTCAATTAATAAAAGGGTTTTTTGATGGGACCCGGAGTCTCCTTCTGGCTCTTGGGAAGCCTTGGTCAGAACAGCCGCTTCACCACAATCCTGTGTTGAAATTTGGGCACTTGACAACCACCAAGGATTGGCCAGAACCGCAGAATCCTTCGGGGGGGTCACGTGATTGCCATTCGCCACTGCAAAATTAACGAGGGAAGCTGGATTTGTTTAAAAGCCACATGATTCGCTT